TGATAGTCTTAGTTCAGAAATGATCTGAATGTAGATTTACAGTCTACGCGTACAGCTGGCTAAGTGAGATCGCTTTCACAGTTCTGCATGTATCCCATCGGCTCCCCATTAGTTACTGAACTCTTAAAACTGGTATTGTAAAATTACCAGAATGTTTTGCGCTAATTTTATAAACTTTACAGTGCAATATGTGTTCCTTTTCTGAGGCAAACCAAAGGTATATTTCTCAAGGTTCTGCTGCTATCAGCAGCGTTGATGGAGGATCTTTTATACATTTGTAATAGATAGAAATAAACCAGATTGCAGTTTAAAAAAAAAAAAAGAATCCAGAAATCTGGCTTATAAAACATCAGGATAGGTTGACTTAAAGAGACTCTCAACTGTATCCTTTGTTCTCTTTAGCTCTCCCGCCCCCAATATGTAAATAAATTAAGAGGCCCGGCCATGGGAGCACACACCTTTAATCCGTGCACTTGGGAAGTAGAGGCAGGTGGATCTTTGAGTTTGAGGCCAGTCTGGTGTGCAGAGTGAGTTCCAGGACAGGCTCCAAAGCTGCACAGAGAAACCCTGTTGGAAAAACAAATAATAATAATAATAATTGGTGTTTCTAAAAGCAAGGACTGAGTGACCACTTTCCCAAGGAGAAGAAAATAAAAATTGTATCAAAGTGCCCTACCCCACCAGCTCCACATGGGGGGCTGTCCATTGGGAAAGGAAGGTCCTGGACCTCAGGAGCCCCTGACACAGGAGGCAGCAAGTTTCCCTCCTGCAGATCATGGTCCCAGTGACCTGGACTTGGAGCAACTCATGGAAGACACTGGAGAGGCAGAGGAGAGAGGGAGTCGCAGCAGAGGGATGGCTCAGAGGAGTTCCTGGCGGGCCTCTTTGAGGAGTAGTGTGCTCTGGTCCTTCTACTGCTGACTGCCTCTCAGTGATCCTGACAGATGTTGAATGTTGGGGTTGGTGACCTGCTCCAGGCTTCAGGTCAGAGCTGTGCATCATGGGTAATAAAGCAGGTCTCTGGGGCCCCTGCTTAGGCTGTGCTTCCTTTCATGTCGCTATGGCAAACTGCCTTCTCTGGAAGGTATAGTAGGCTGGGGACAGCAGCAGGACCCAGGCCTGAGAGAACCTTCAGAAAAGTATCTCTGTGAGTCCTGGCTCCCTGAATTCCTGGGAGCAAGATGGCCTTAGGAAAGCATTGTAACCATCTAGTGTTTAGTTCCCTGTCTCACACCGTCTATCTAGATTGTTGCTGATGTCCAATGTGGTGGTCCATGGGAACCAGTCACTGTGTGCTGGTTATTACCCTCCCAGATGTGGGTGTACATCGTGTAGACTGGCTGCCAGCATTTGGGGCATCCCCTGAATTGGGCAACCAGAAAAAAGTGATAGAGGAGGGGATGTGACTCTTAATTAGATTCATTTAGGCAAATTCTGTGGATTATTTTATTTTGTGAGAAAGGTCTAGGAAGTTAAAAAAGAGAACTGGGAATTTCTGATTTTCTCTGAGCTCAAACGCCCTGATGTGTGAATTTCTGTTTCTGGCCATGGGTATCAGTGACCCATGAGACTTTGTCTCTGGCTGTGGGTATCAGTGGAAGCTGGGAGTCTTCCCACTAGAAACACAGGTGACTCTGAGATCGTCACCCAAACCCATTCATTTGGCCTTTATGATTGAGTACAAAGTCACTTCCTGGGGGTTCCCATGGACAGGCTGGCAGGGTGGTGTTCCTGGGGAGGCTGGGCTTGAGCGGGCAATGGAGGCGTACACGATGTTGTTATCCTGCGGGGACAAGAGGTTGGAGGGCAGCAGTGCAGCTGTGGCCACCATAAAGCAGCAGATGCAGCCTGAGTGTCCTGTCACACCTGCAGCAGCTGCAGCCTGAGTGTCCTGTCACACCTGCAGCAGCTGCAGCATGAGTGTCCTGCCACACCTGCAGCAGCTGCAGCCTGAGTGTCCTGCCCACACCTGCAGCAGCTGCAGGCTGAGTGTCCTGCCCACACCTGCAGCAGCTGCAGCCTGAGTGTCCTGCCCACACCTGCAGCAGCTGCAGCCTGAGTGTCCTGCCCACACCTGCAGCAGCTGCAGCCTGAGTGTCCTGTCACACCTGCCCCAGCTGCAGCCTGAGTGTCCTGCCCACACCTGCAGCAGCTGCAGCCTGAGTGTCCTGCCACACCTGCCCCAGCTGCAGCCTGAGTGTCCTGCCCACACCTGCACCAGCTGCAGCCTGAGTGTCCTGTCCACACCTGCAGCAGCTGCAGCCTGAGTGTCCTGCCCATACCTGCAGCAGCTGCAGCCTGAGGTTCCTGCCACACCTGCAGCAGCTGCAGCCTGAGTGTCCTGCCCACACTTGCAGCAGCTGCAGCCTGAGTGTCCTGTCACACCTGCAGCAGCTGCAGCCTGAGTGTCCTGCCCACTTCTGCAGCAGCTGCAGCCTGAGTGTCCTGCCCACTTCTGCAGCCTCCACCCTTCTGCCTCCTTCTTCAACATCCCTTTAACTTCCCTCAGGCCTGAGTCAGAGTGGCTTACCTTGGTGTTCACTTTGAGGTCCATATATTGTCCTAGAGAAAAGGAACACAGAGTGCTGAGGTCAAGATGTGACAGGAAGGGAGACAGATGGCTGGGAGTTCTAAAAGTGAGGTGAGGACCTTGGTTATATGGGAGGGACAGGGTGAAGGAGGGAAGGGAGAAAATATAGAGGGGTGCTCATGTAAGTGTGGAGTCTTGGGAGAAGACAGCAGCAAGGTTGGGAAACAGGAAGCTGGCAGAATTTACCTTCAGGTTCAACATTGTCAGTGTTTTCAATGAGGTCCCTGCACAGGAACAAATGGACAGCATATCAGAATCTGGACAGGAAAGGGTTAAGACATCAGGTGCTGGGCTGCAGAGATGGCTCAGTTAGGAAATGTCACATAAACAGGAAGTCCTGATTGCAGACCCAGGACCCACAGAACGCTGGATGCTGGAGAAGCAGAGACAGGCAGATACATCCCTGGAGTTCACTGGCCCGGACTAACACATGAGCTCTAGATTCAGGGACAGACCCTGTCTCAAAAGATAAATGGAGGGCTGGAGAGATGGTTCAGCTGGCAAAGTGCCCACTTCACAAACACGAAGACCCAGATTTAGATCCCCAAGGACCCATGTGAAAAAAGCTGGACATGATGTGCCTGGAGAGTGGGGATGGAGAGAGGACGATTCCTGAAGCTCATTGTCTGGGCATCCTGGTCTAACTGATGAACTCAGGTTAGTGAGAGACCCTGCCTCAAAATAAATATTGAATAAAGGTGGGAGAAAGTGGGGGGAGTCACTACATAGACCTCTGGTCTCCACATACAATACAGATGCATACACACACACACACACACACACACACACACACACACACACACACAGACCCCAAACATGCAGGAATACAAAACAGAATGGAGAACAACTGAGAGACACACCATTGATCTCTGGCTTCTACACACTGGGCACATGTGGATGTGCACCTACACATGCACACACACAAGAACAGTAACAACACACACAGAACTGGGCATGGTGGTGCATGCTTGTAATCTCAGTGCTCAGGAGGTGGAGACAGGGGGACTCTGATGTTCACTGACCAATGAACCTGGGCGAACTGATGAGTTCCAGACTAGTGAGAGACCTTTTCTGAACCAAACCAAACAAAACAAAGCCAAACAATAATAACAACAATAATAACAAAAATCCAAACCCAAGGTGAAATGACTTCGTGGGAAAGGCCAGACCATCAAGACTGACAACTTGAGTTTCATCCCAAGGATCCACAAGGTGGAAGGAAAGAGAAAGCTCTCAGAAGTTGTCCTGTGATCGCCACATGTGGGCCATGTCAAGTCATTTCCACACATATGGATACACATGCACACAAACAGATAAAATGTAATAAAATAATTATTTAAAAGAGTGGATGACACTGGAGAACACACAAAGACACAGACACACAGACACACAGACACAGACACACACACACACACACATACACACACACACACACACACACACACACAGGAAGCTGCTTCCCTCTGAATGGTCTCTGCCATCCTCAGTGACTCTAGATGAGTATGACTGAGTTCATTCTCAGAATTAGATCTTCTCTGGAAGAGAATGAGAGGCCATTGGGAAGGTGGCCTGGCCGATGTCTCTCAGCACTAGCTGAAGGGGAGTCATTCTAGGAATCAGCTTGCCCTGGGCAGGAACAGAGACTAGAAATAGGAAGAACCAAGTCTATTCTCTCTCACTACCTGGAAAACTAGAAGACAAGAAAGTTTCAGATCTCCTGGTAGGTGCTCAGACTGGGTTCTGTAAGAAAGGACCTGAGATGGGACTGGAGGAAGGGCATCTGGCCAAAGAAAGCCACAGGGAGAGGAGAGATGGAGGAAGCTGGGATGCAGTGTGGCTAGTGGATGCTTGAGTTATCTGCACAAGGCCCTGGGTTCCATCCCAGCACCTCATAAAATGGGTGTGGTTCGATGCCTGTCCTTCCAACAGGTGGGAGGTGGAGGCAAAGATCAGAAATTCAATGTCATCTTGGCTTCATAGTGGGTTTGAGGCCAGCCTGGGATAAAGGAGAACCTTTCTCTGAACAAAGGGGTTGGAGAAGGAAGGGTCAGAGCAGGCCATGTACAGTAGGAAAAGAAGAGGCAGGAGAGAAGGGTGGAGAGGTTGGGAGGTGAAGAGAAAAGGGCAAGAGATGTGGAAGATCTGGAACAAAGGATTCTGGGACAGCGGGGCTCACTGACCATAGAGAAAGACAGAGAGAAGAAAGGGAAGGATGGAAGAGCTGTTGAATCCAGGCGGATGTTCAAGGTTGAGAGGAAACAGAGACAGAGAGGGCAGCCCACGAAATGGAAGAAGAGAGGGAGGAAGACTGAGGCCTAAAGTGGGTGTTGTTGTGGGAAGGAGACTCCTGAGACCCTGCACTCCTTGTCAGTGTGTGAATCTGGTGGCCCTGAGGAGGGAGATGTCATAGGCGAAAAGGAGGGAGGAGACAGGATGAGTCAGTGGTTAGGGAGATGTGAAGAGCCCTGTGTGTGGTTCTCCTTTTTTATGTTATTTGAAGGGGCTGGAGAGATGGCTCAGTGGTTAAGAGCGCTGGCTGCTCTCGCAGAGGACCCGGACGGCGCTCACCTGGCTGGGGTTTCAGCTTTAGTCCTCTGTCCTGTGGGGAAGAAACAGTGTCAGTGTGACATCAGTGCTGATCCTCCATCATCCCTCTCAGCTGTCCTCTGTGTGCAGACCACCTTCAGAGGACAGGGGAGCAGAGAACCTGCCCCAGGCAGTCAGAGAGGAGCCTGAGCTCCCTCTGCTGGGCTGTGTCCTACACAGCAACCTCCCCAGATCTCTGCTAGGTCCATGTCCACCCCTGTCTCCTCTGCTTCCTTCACCAACCTTGAGTTCCCTCACTCCACACCTGCCTCATCTACTCTGCATTCACCAGCCTTCCTTTTCGTGACTTTAGAGACCGTCTCTTTCTGGATTATATTTCACTCCACTGGTCTCTTTGTCTTGGTGCATACTATTCTCTTTTAATTATTAAGCTTTTTAAAATTGTCACTTATTTATTATGTGGTAGGGGGTGTGCCACAGTTTGTATGGAGGTCAGAGGGAAACTTGCAGAAGTCGATTTCCTCCACCATGTGGTTCCCAGGCTTCCATACTGACTCCTTTTAACCTCTGAGGGCTACTGTAGCTTTTTTTTTTTTTTTTTTTAAAAAGCACAAAACTTTCATTATTTATTTATTTAGCTACTGTAGCTCTAAAAGTTTTTGTTGATGTTGTTTTGTTTGGTTTTGCTTTAAGAATTTTAAAATTATCTGCACCTCTTTTGGTGTGGATGCCCTGAGAGCAGAGGCCTGTGGGATTCAGGAGAGGGCTTCTGATAATTTGCCTGGAGCTATAGTTACAGGCGGTTGTAAACTGCCTGATGTGGGTGCTGGAGCAGAACTCAGGTTCTCTGCCAGATCAGCCAGTGCTCTTAACTGCGGAGCCATTCCTCCAGCCTCCTGTTGTAACTTTGATAAACTCTGGGATCAGACAGCGGGGGTGCTCCATTATTGGCCATTTTTTTTGTTATTTTATCTCATTTTATTTTTGAGAATGCATGTGAATTTGAGAAGATGAATTATTTTTCAAAACTCCCATTGTACTTTAGATAAGAATTATATTGAATTTACTGATTATTTTTGTAGTACAGACTTCTTTTTAAAAAAATCCTTAATTCATTTTTATTGTATGACTGTTTGCCTGCTGGTATTTCTGTTTGCCACACATGTGTCTGGTCCCTTGTGGCAGTCAGAAGAGGGCATCAGATCCCCTGGAACAGCAGTTACAGGTTATTGTGAGCCATTGTCTGGGTGCTGGAATCAAACCCTGGTCCTCTGCAAGAGCAGCCAGTGCTCTTAACAAATGATCCGTCTCTCCAGCCTCCTAATACAGACATCTGAACTAATTTTTCTATTTTAAGAATGAGCTGATTCCTACTCACCCGCTTCCTCTTTCTTTCAACAATGTCAGCCACTGTGTTTTGGAGAACAAGTCATTTGGTGCCTTAGTTTCCCTAACTGTTTTTTCCGTAACTGTTTTTTTTTTTTTCATGTCCTGGAGTTTGCTCTGTAGACCTGGCTGGCCTCAAACTCACAGAGATCCTCCTGACTCTGCCTCCTGAGTACTCAGATTAAAGATGTGTGCCACTGCCGCCTGGCCTTCCCTAAGTGTTTTTAGATTATAATTTTAGTTTTAGAGATTTATTTTCATTTGTGTGTGTATATATATGTGTGCATGATTGTGTATGCCATCCTGTTCCCATATGTCCAAGGAGGCCAGAAGAGAGCCCTGGGTGCCTGAAGCTAGACTTACAGGAGGTTGTGAGCTGCGCCCTATGGGTGCTGGGAACTGAACTGGGGTCCTCTGCCAGAGCAGCAAGTGCTCTTAACTCCTGAACCATCTCTCTATGTTTTCTTTTGGACTTAAAAATACACTTTATTTGTTTGTTTTTTGACAGCTCTGTGAGATCCACACAGGCACGTCTAGTAGATTCCCAACTCAGCTGGTTAGCCCACTCCTAACTAACCCGAACAATTAAATTGTTTTCATTGTTTAATTGTTGGGGTTAGGTTAGGGTTAGATTTGAATGAAAAATCTTCATAACAGTCTCATCTATTTGAAATCTTTGTCATATTTGGGAGGTTGTGGACCATTTAGGAGATGCAGCCTTCTGGAAGATTTATGTGTCACTGGAGGTGTGTTTTGAGAATGCATTGCCCCTCACCCCACTTTCAGATTTCTCCCTGGTTCTCTGCATTGTTACAGATATGACTTCTCAGTGTCCTGCTTCAGCTGCCCCTCCACTATTAACCTTCCTTCTGGACCACAAGCCAAATCCAATTCTTCCTCCCACAAGTTACTTTTGATCATGTTTTATCACTGCAGTGGAAAAGTAATCGCTATTACACACTCTCAATCTCACTTCCTCTTTCAGTCCCTATATGGCTTGGTGGTTTCATCAGAGTGTTTCTCAATACACTTAGACTTGTTCCTGTTCCCTGGTCCCCGTGTCATCCATCTAATCACTGAGTGTTTTCTTGAGGTCTTCCACACCCAAGGATGACTTTGAACTACTGATTCTCCTGCCTGCCCCTTCCACACACTGGAGTTACAGACATGCACTACCACACCAGGCTAATCACAAAATCTGAAAGGTTTTGCCTTGACTTTTTCCTGGTTCTGGCCATTCATCCCCATGTGCAGCTCCACTGTGGCAAAGTGACACAGCCTGGTCCCCTCCAGTCTGTCCTCTGCACCCTAAGACTGTGATGTCAGAATCCAGCTGCTGCTCAGGGCACAGCACCGCCCTTCTCCTCTCACAGAGACACTGTTGTCCAGATACTGTTCTCTCCAGCTGACCTGCTTCCATCCAGGTCCAGGGTTAGAGGACAATATCAAGGACTCAAGCACTTTCCTGACTCAGCCTTCCCTGAGCCCTCGCATCTGTCCTGTCACAATCCCCTTAGAGGACTCTGTTGAAACACGAAGGACGTGTGATGGGGTGCAGTCTTGGACCACTTACCTTTCCTTCTCCTCCACCTGAGGAACACTGTCAACCCCAAAACCCCAGCCAGGAGTACAGCAGCAGCCACTGCCAACCCAACTCTGGTTCCCAGACCCAGGGTCTGACTCTTCCCGCTCTTCTTCCCTTCTGTGGCTGTGAGTGCAGTTCTGGTGAGTGCAGAAGTTGCAGAGGTGGGACTTGGAGAGGTGGTCCTGGGGGCTGGGAGGAGACAAAGGAAGTCAGCATTGAATGTGATTGGGAAGTGTAAGCCAAATAAACCTTTTCCTCCCTAAGTTCTTTGGTCATGGAGTTTTTCACAGGAATAGAAACTCGAACTAGTACACCTGCCGGCCCCTGCATCCCAAGTCATGGGCTCTGTTCTAGTTTCAAGTCCTCTGTTGAATCCGCATAGGGACCCTGCTGTGGGATGATTTCTGTCCAGGATGCTGCAATCCGGATCCTGCAGTGCCAACTCCATTTCCCCAATAGCAGTGACTGTACCCTGCAGCCATGATGCAGTCACAGGGGTCGGGCACTTTCTGTGGAGGAGCAGCATGGGACGTTGGTGTAATTGTAAGTTTCTGTCCCTCCAGCAGCTCCCAAATACCTGGCAGCTGCTTCTCAAATTTCCACCCAGAGACTTAAATAATTAATATATATTGTATTATATTATATTATATATTAATATAATTATATGTAAATGTTCCACTGGTAGCTCAGGCTTATTACTAACTGGCTCTAACACTTAAATTAACCCATAATTGTAATCCATGTTTAACTTGGTACCTTTTCTCAGTAGCGCAGTCTCATCATGAGTCCTCTGCATCTGCCTGAGGACTCCTGACTCAACCCTTCCTCTTCCCAGCATCCCCAGGGACCTGTGTGTGTTGCCATGCACTTGTAATCCCAGCACTTCAAGGGAAAATAGGCAGATCCCTGTGGCTCACTGACAGCTGTCCTAGGCCACTTTGTGAGTTGAGCCCAGAGAAAGACCCATCAAAGGAAACATAAGGAGAGAGAGAGAGAGAGAGAGAGAGAGAGAGAGAGAGAGAGAGAGAGAGAGAGAACACTAGGGGTCTTTTTGCTTAGACATGAAAGAGAAAACATGCAAAGGAGAGTACTCTTGAATTTGGCTACAAAATTGAAATTATGGAAAGAGAATTAGTAAGTCAACCACAGGGCTTTTTAAAATACATGTTGCACATATTTCTCCAGGGGGGATATCTTTTCCCTAAATGAGGATATTTTGCTCCAATAAAACATTTCTTTTGAGGTCTGTGGATGCAGCTCAGTGGTGGAGTGCTTGCCTAGGGTGCACGAGGCCCTGAGTCCATCTCAAACAGGGGACACAGGAGTGGTGAAACGCCCTTTTGGTCCCTTCTCTAGGCAAAGAGTTCAAGGCCATCTTTAGTTATATAGTAAATTTGAGACCAGCATGGACACATGAGACTCTGTCTTAAAGAAATGGAAAAAAAGTCTTCTTAATGTTAATTTTAATATTTTAAAAACAATGGGCAGGAATATTCAGTTAATGAATTAATTTTTAAAATTAATGACAAAAAATACTGATGAAGAACTCACAGTGGAGGTGAGGTGTAAGTCAATGACAGAGCCCTTGTCTAGTGTGCACGTGGCTCTGGGTACAAGAAGAAAAACATGGTGTGTCTGCCTGAAGCAGAGAAAGACATGGCTGCCTTAAATTGATTGTTCTACAAGATATCTAATAGATATCTCAAAGGCTGGAGACATTAGGATTTGAGGAAAAGGGAGGAGGCTGGAAGAAGAGAAGCCATTTAGGGAAACTTGTAGAAGACACAGGAAATGCAGATGTAAGGTGTCTGTCAGTTCTGGCTGTGTAGTTTATCCTGAACTAGCACAGGGGTTAAGATGAGGACTGGTTTGCCAGGGGGAGGCTGGTGGGTCTAACCTAGAAGGGACAAACCCACTTATCACCTGCACTGCTGAGAATTGGCAATGAAATTAATGATGATTAGTATTTAGCTATTAATTTTATATTTTATTTTCTAAAAAAATATATTTTTAAAGATTTATTTATTTATTTATTTATTTATTTATTTATTTATTTATTTATTTATTTAATATGTATACAGCATGTATGCCTACAGGCCAGAAGAGGGCATCGGATCTCATTACAGATGGTTGTGAGCCACCATGTGGTGCTGGGAATTGAACTCAGGACCTCTGGAAGAGCAGCTAGTACTCTTAACCACTGAGCCATTACTCTAGCCCTAAAAATATATTTTTTATTAAATTTTTGCACACACAATGGTGCATGAATTTTGTGTGTGTGTGTGTGTGTGTGTGTGTGTGTGTGTGTGTGTGAGAGAGAGAGAGAGAGAGAGAGAGAGAGAGAGAGAGAGAGAGAGAAGTTAACCTTGGGCGTTCCTTCCTCAGATGTCATTCACCTTATTTGTAAGACAGACCACGTGAGCACCTGTAACCCCAACACCGTGGGACATTGAGACAAGAAGATCAATGGGGCATCACAGCCTACCAGCCTAGCCATAAACAGTGAACTCCAGCTTCAGTGAGAGACCCTGCCTCAAGGGAATAAGGTGGGTCTTACTAGAGGAGGAACCCTAATGTCCACTTCTGGCCTTCCAAAGTACAAAAATGGAGTACACACACACACACACACACACACACACACACACACACACACACTTATACCATGTATACACATCCCACAAAATCAAGATAGAAGAGAGGCAAGCAATAGTGTGAACTCCACAGAGGCCACGTCTCTACTGGTTGAGAGATGTTTGGAGGTAAAGGGTTCCTTTCGAGGCCTGTTCCTCACCAACATGACATTGGGCAGGGGTTGAATTCTGCTGGTCTCCCTGTTTCTCTCTGTACAATGACCATGAGAGTGCCCAGTAGTGGTGACAGGTGGCTGGTGTAATGTCCACACAGGGACTAGGCTGGGCCTGTGTGCACTCTGTGGAAGCTGCAGTTACAGCTGCCATGGAGGAGGAGAAGTGACCAGAGAACCTGATCATGGTGAGAACATGAGAGTCTGTGTGGGAAGATGGGGAATGGGGAGGAACGAGGGGAAGAGGGAAATGAGGAAGTAGAAAAGAAACTGGGGCAGGTAGAGTTGAGGGATGTGTCTAGAGACTGGTGAAGTGGGGGACCCAGAGGAGGAGGGGTACCTGGGACCAGAAGGCACCTACTGTGGAAGGCACTAGATATGGTGTAAAGTCTAGATCTAATGGAGACCCTGACACAGGACCAGGTGAAGGCTGCTCCGTCTTGGAGAGGCCAAATCCACGTGGATTTGTGTCAACAAGGGTGGGGTGGGCAGGGCGGTAGTCAGTTTGGAGAAAGGAGCAGGAGACTGGGCCATCTGGGAAGAGCTGACTGGGGGTGGGGTGGATCTGAGGGCAATGAGGGGCAGCTCAGAGAGAGCAGCTAAGGCTTGGGGATGGTTGTGGGGAAGAGGAAAGGTGGAGTTGTCAGAGCTCTGGGGAGGGGACAGAACACATGAGAGGAGTCTGTGGGAAGGACCAGAAGTGTAGGATCTCTAATGACATCTATGGTACAAGGAAGCCAGGGCCACCAGGGTCTGACCTGGGATGTGCTCACCAGGAGTGAGGGTGAGTTGGGTCCCAGGAATCGACTGAAACTCCTTGATGCCTTCCTTTGTGTTCATGTGAACTTGGCAGAAGTACACTGTCTGGTCCTTCTCCTTCAAGTTCCAGATTCTGAGGACTCCAAGATGTCTGAGGCTGTGTCCAGTTTAGGCTGAGTCGGTCCTTGAAATCCTCATGTGTGAAAGATGGGGTAGAATTGTAGATATATTTTCCATGGAAGTTCTTCCATCTCCAGAGAATCCTGATCTGTGGATCCTCTGCCAACTTCCAGGGGAAGTAGAAGGAGAAGGGGATCTCGATGGAGCCACCCTGGACACCAGAGAGGCGTGATGGTTGTTTGACCCCATAGGCATTTACTTTGTTGGATCCTGGTGAGTTACCTGGGGAGAATGGGGATCTGAAGCCACTGCAAAGGATGGAGAGGGCAACCCTAGTTTCCTGAGTCATCATCCAGAGTCAGGTGTGGGACACAGGGCAAGATTTTGCTTATGTCCCCCACTGTCACATACAGGCCAGGACAGACAAGGAAGGGTTGAACTGGATCCACTCTGAGGATGAGCTGTCTCTTGGGGCACAGGGCACCCTCTGGCTCCTCTAGCAGACCCCTGTCCACACGACAGTCTGCTCTTCCTAGCCCCACTGGCCCCTCCTGTGGTTAGGGCAGAGTCCCTGCTAACAAGGTCCCCACCACTCACCAGCTGGCAGACATGCAGCTGACATCAGCAGAAGCAGGATCCAAGCCATGGCCTGATTCCCTCCAGGAAGTGAGACCAGCAGAGCCATCAGGCAGGAGAGGAGCCCTGTGCAGGGACACTGGGGTGCTCAGGAGTCAGGAGAGAATTGGGGTAAAGTGGAATATAACTCTTGGGCCTTCTCATGTGGAGGACAGAGTGGGGCAGGACCTCCCCATCCCACCTCCTTGTGACCAGCAACTTCCTTCATGATTCTGGCTTCTTCTTTCTCACACTGCAGAAGATCTGCCCTGTGGTCACTGACAGGATGGCCGTGCCCTTGAGCCCAGCCCCCATTTTTGACAGGAAGATATGGAACTGACCTCACCATGCCGGGCTCTCATCTCTTCCATCTTGACCTCCTGTCTTAACCAGTCTCGTCCATTTCCCATGTGGCCTGTAATTACTGTTTCCTCACCTCCAGATTTCCTTCACTCCTGTTTTTCCCCCTCTTCAATCTGTTTTTCATTATGTCTCTCATCATGCTGTCTGTCTGTCTGTCTCTCTAATAACCTCAGGTACAGAAGTGGTCAGTTTCTGCTCACTTCAGACACAGCGAGGATGGAGGTGATGAGGAAACACATTCAGTCCCAGCCCTAGCTCGGTGTCCCCACCACCATCTGCTCTTTGTCCTCTTCTTGTCCTTCAGGGACTCTTTACAGCACCAGGCAGAACCAAGGCCCAGGGGACACTCTCGCCCTGGCCTGCTCACTGCTGCCGAGTCTGTAACTACCCTGGGCTTCCTGGGTGATCATCTCTCTCCCCTAGACAGTAACTCCAAAGCTACTCCAGTTTCTGAAGGAGACTTTCTATGTCCCACCAACCTTCACATACCTCAGAAGAGGATGCCAAGGATCAGAGAAGCCCTGGCACATGTCACATGACTGCCACATGTCAGGTTGACTGGACTTCATCCCATCAAGGACTTGTAATCCTCCACTCCACACAGACTTCAGCCTGCCTGCTCCGTGCAGCATCTGAACTCCCCTCAAAGGCCATGGATCTGCTGTTGGGTTCCCAGGACACTGTTCCCACAAAGCACTTGAGTGACTCCCTCTAGCTGTGGCTGTTCTAGAACCTTCTTTGGATGAAGTGGCAAAGAAGTCTCAGAGCAGCAATGTGTCACTTATGACATGTTGCCTGGGACGTCTCTGAAAGTGGACACAGATGACCTGTGACTGGGGTGGAGGCGTGAGTGTGGGTGCAGTGGTTCTGGTGGCCACATGGATGATTCTGCAGGAGGTTCACCCCACCCTTCCCCAAGGCATGGTTCCATCAGTTCCCTGAAGGGTAGGAAGACAAGATTGTACCAGAGGAAGAGGCATCATTCTCCCTGAGTCACATGTGCAGAGGCGACTTCCCATTTCCTTAGATTCCTGCACTGATTGCCTTCTCCATGCTTCCCTGCAGGTGGCTGTGCAGCCGCCTCTGTCACATCTGCTGTCTCTGCCTTCCTCACAGTCCCCACAGTCCCCATGGCCCTCTGATTCCTTGACCTGAGCCAGGAACAAACTCTCATGGCCTCACTCCCAAGTTACATGGACAGAAAATTCTATATTCATTGTACTTCTGCACACTCCAATCACAGAATCTTAATAATGAGTTGGTCCTAGATGCACTGTCAGTCAGGACACGGGACAAGGCTATTCTACTTGTCTAAAAGGGCATCTCATGTTTAGGGGGTGTCTCATGTATCCCAAGCTGGGTTTGAACTTGTTATGTACCCAAGGATGACCTCGAACTCATACAGATCCCCCTCTCTGCCCTCAGAAGAGCTGGGGTGACAGGTGTGTGACATCATGCCCCCTGTCTCCTGCTGGTGATAGAACCTAGGGTTCTGTGAATGTCCTAAGTATGTAAGTAAGTAAGTAAGTAAGTAAGTAAGTAAGTAAAAACTCCTCAAGATGAAACTTGACTTTAGCCTCCTTGAAATTCAAAGAGGGGCCCCTCCTGGTCACAAGTACTCACCTCCAGGTTTTATCTGGTCCTGCCCTACTGTCTGGGATCTGTCAGTAAAGGTTCACTGATTTCTAAGTCACCAAGGAGGGGCAAATCCTGATGAAGCTGCCTTATGTCAGCCTCTGGTCCCCAGCATTTTAACACATGAGTGTCTGTATTCAGGCTATTGAACCTTTTAACAGTGCCAGGTCTGGGTTCCAGTCTTCTATAAGAGCAGCAAGCTGTCCCAACTGCTGATCCATTCTTCCAGCCCCTTGACATTTCAGATACAAATGTACTAGGAAAGGCTCAGAAGTGTTCAGATTGGTTCAAGACCCATGTTGAACACACAGCTAACACAAGGTGTGACCTGAAAGCCCATACTCCTCATTCTATCCTTTCAGATGCTTTAAACATAAGAATCCAGATCTGACTTTTAAAACATCAGGGTAGGCTGACTTAAAGGGACTCTCAAATTGTCCCTTTTTCTCTTTAGGCCCTAAAAAGAAATTAAGGCTCCTGAGAGCAAGGCCTCAGCTACCAACTTACCCAAGGAGAAGGAAATTAAAATTGTATCAAGTGTCCTGCTCCCACAGCTCCACACAGGGCTTGTCTGTGGGTAAAGGATGGTCCTGGGTCTCAGGAGGCCCTGACCCAGAAGGAAGCAAGTTTCCCCCTGAAGATGATGGTTCCAGTGACCTGGACTTAGAGCCACTCATGGAAGACACTGGAGAGGCAGAGGAGAGAGGGGAGTCGCAGCAGAGGGATGGCTCAGAGGAGTTCCTGGCGGGCCTCTTTGAGGAGCAGTGTGCTCTGGTCCTTCTACTGCTGACTGCCTCTCAGTGATCCTGAGCAGATGTCGAATGTTGGGGTTGGTGACCTGCTCCAGGCTTCAAGTCAGAGCTGTGCATCATGGGTAATGAAGCAGGTCTCTGGGTCCACTGCTTAGGCTGTGCTTCCTTTCATGTCGCTATGGCAACCTGCTTTCTCTGGAAAGTATAGGAGGCTGGGGAAAGCAGCAGGACCCAGGCCTGAGGGAATCTTCAGAAAAGCATCTCTGTGGTCTTGACTCCCCTACTTCCTGGGGGCGACATGGCCTTAGGAAAGCATTGTAACCATCTGGTGTTTAGTTCCCTGTCTCACACCATCTATCTGGGGTTGATGCTGATGTCCAGTGTGGTGGTCCATGGGAACCATTCACAGTGTGTGCTGGTTATTACCCTCCCAGATGTGGGTGTACATCGTGGAGACAGGCTGCCAGCATTTGGGATATTCCCTACTTTGAGCAGTTAGAAAAATGTGATAGAGGAGGGAATCTTAGAGGACCAGAAGTTAAAGGTCACATGAGTGACTCTTAATTAGATTCATTTAGGCAAATTCTGTGGATTGTTTTATTTTGTGAGGAAGATCTAGGAAGTCAGAAAAAGCAACAGGGAGTTTCTCAATTTCTCTGAGCTCAAACGCCTTGACGTGTGGATTTCTGTCTCTGCCGATGGGTATCAGTGACCCATGAGATTTTGTCTCTGGCTGTGGTATCAGTGGAAGCTGGGAGTCTTCCCACTAGAAACACAGGTGACTCTGAGATCGTCACCCAGACCCACTCATTTGGTCTTTACAATGGAGTACACAGTCTCTTCCTGGGGGTTCCCATGGACGGGCTGGCAGGGTGGTGTTCCTGGGGAGGCTGGGCTTGAGCGGGCAATGGAGGCGTACATGATGTTGTCATCCTGCGGGGACAAGAGGTTGGATGGCAGCAGTGCAGCTGTGGCCACCATAAAGCAGCAGCTGCAGCCTGAGTGTCCTGCCCACACCTGCAGCAGCTGCAG